CCCGATGCCCGAGTCCACAACCCGAAGCCTTCTGTCGATACGTCGACCGATCCACCGGCCCGACGTCCAATCTTCTGAAATGTTCCTCCGGCACAACATGATGTTCCTGCTTTAATTGTCTCATCCTGATCAAAGCATCCCGCGTCACTCAAAACACAGATTAAGTCATAAACATATGTCAAGTAGTTTCATCATCAAAATACGAGATTCAACAGCCACCTCCTATTCTCCTCTCCCATTCTTCTCCTCATATAGCAGGCCTGGAGATTTGAGAAGCATCGTCATAGCTCTATTGTGTGGATCACAGCTAGAGAGGATAGCGCTTGGTCTCTTTCACCCTCTCCTACAGATCTGCAAGGATTCAGAGATATATGATCTCCCTAGGTAACACGATCTTCATATACGTAGTTTTCGATTTTACGATTTTTACACACCAATCTTCGCACAATGACGAATACTTCTTTGGAAAATTAGAGATTTTGTTTTATGTTCTTTCGCTGCACATGTGATGTCGGCCCCTAGATTTTTTTACATTAACATGGTCAAGAAGGTGTGATACATTAAGGTGTCCGAGATGCCATATAATAATATTTAGGCACAGAACACTACAATGTGCTCCATTGGATCGGTATTACCATCGATCACTTACAAAAATGGGAGACGAAAATTTATTAGAATTAGTTCCTCTTGGATTTCTAGGTGAACAACGATCAACCCGAGGTGGGGACAACTAGCACCTCCTTTTGTTTTTTTATTGTTGGAATTCTCATCGCTTCTCTAAACATTGGTTCATCTGTCATAGTGACTCAATCTCAATCGATAAGGAATCCTCTATCAAGCTAACTGACTCAATCTCATTCAGGTAGGGCAAAATGAGAGTGGTACGGTCCACTAAATTCCACGGTTAGGAACCGAAATCCACCTCGGGTGATGATTTGACAAACCTTGGGCTCTCCTAATATGTCGGCACCACGTCGAGTCAGAAAATCTCGGTGAGTGCCGATAGGAGTAGAACTAGGGACTACAATTGAGTTGATGACATTACTTGTTAGACTAGTTTAGGCAAAAGCAGAGTGATAACCTGTATTATGCCTATTAGCGTTTGTACTTGCTTAGTGAGGAAGGATAAAGAGGTGGCCCAAGATTATCTCTCGGAGTGAGAGACCAGGGTCATTGAATTGGCACTAGTATCATATTAGAGTTTGCACAAAGTTGGATGCACCAATATGCGGAGAGGGTGATTACCACCTCCCTAGGGTGAAAGTACTGTGGATTAGAGCCAAAACCTCTTCGCTTAAGCATTCATTGAAAGAATTAATGAGCAAGCTTTCCTACGATATTGCTTCCTCCTTCTAACGATAAAAATATTAAGGGAAGATTCATTAATGTCTGGGTCAATCTGACGTAGTTCAGACATATATATATATATATATATATATATATATATATATATATATATATATATATATATATATATATATATATATATATATATATATATATATATATATATATATATATATATATATATATATATATATATATATA